CTCAGTCATAAAGTTTCCACCTTTGTGACTTTCCATTGCTAGACAAGGCCCAAAAGCTAAAACCCTAACTTAATAATCCATTAAGACATCATGACTCTTGCATGGAAGGGATATAAGGGCCAAGATCTCATTTTTATGGTTTTTAATAGCTCCATAATGGATAAAGTTTTCCAACTTTATCCTTTAGGATGGTCCAACCAACCAAGATCTAGTCTTTAAGTCTCAAATGGACCAAAAAATGCATCTTTTTCAACTTTATCCATTAAGTCCAAGTCTCCAGCCTTTAGATCTAAATCAATATGATGTTTAGATGGATGAAGTTTCCAACTTTATCCATAACAAGGTCATAAAATTTCAAGATCTAAACTTTATGCACTAAAGTGACCAAAAAGTCACAAATATGAAAATTAACAAAATCTATGAAACTAATGAGCAAGTTTGAAGCTTTTTACTCACAATGGTCCAGAAGCGATGTAATCTTGTCGGATTTGTGCTTGAATCCTTCTTCCATACACTTTTCCACCACCTTGTTCTTTAAGATTCCACCTTTTATTGGAGAAATAAGCTCATAAATGATGCCAAAGCTCAAAATAAGTGAGAGGACGCTAGAGTTTCAAGTTAGAGGCTCAAGAGGGTGGAGGCTCATGATAGGAAGGACCCCCCCAAGGGGTTAGAGACCTTAAATAGGGCTCAAAACCATGAAAATAGGGTTTTTACATAGCGATTGTACGCCCAACGTACCTAAAGTTACGCCCAACGTAACACCCTAACAGATGCGACTTCTTCAGCCTAGTACGCCCAACGTACTCCTAGTGTACGCCAAGCCTACTACTAGACTCTCCAACTTAACTTCAAACAGTCATAACTTCTTCGTCCCAACTCCGTTTTCGACGTTCTTTGTATGCACAGAAAGGTATTGAAGAGCCCCCACAATCTTATCTAATTAATTTTAACTTAAAACATACCGAACTAAAATCTTTATTCCAAGAAAAAAGTCTAAAACATCACTTTTCCTGTTTTACCCTTTGACTCCAAAACACGAACCAAGGGCCCGGATTGCATAACCAATATTATCAACATCTAATAGGGTCTAAACCCCATTCCTTCGAAGCCCAATGCCTTTACTTGATCCATTTATTGTCCACGATCCCGAAATAAGAAACTTTTCGAAACAGGAAGTTACAAAAAACTTAAAAGTAATTAGTGAAAATGGTTAGTTTAGAAATTATCGCTAGTTTTTAGGTTGCCAATCTACATAAGATTAAATCCCATTTGTTGTGTTTTTAAAAAAAAAAAGAGTATACAAATCAACATCTTTACATCATATTTTTTAAAGGATATAATTTTTCTTCTTTAAAAATGTATGTCTTGACAATACAGTTAGAAGAGTACTCGATGCCTCCTACCTATTTCGACATTATGGATCCATCATAAAAAAAATCAATAATAATCATATTTATGAAGGAAAAAAATGTATTAAGTTTGTGAACTTCAACTAAACAAGAATAAAAAATTGATGAAATTTATTTGGAATTTTATAATTTTTAACAATATTATTTATATTGTTATATTATAAAAACAAAATTATTGTTATTTTTATCTTTATAAAAAATAAATTTAAAATTATTGACATTAATATAGCTAGTAATAAAAGTGTAATTATTAAAAAATAAAGCTTTATTAATTAGATTATAATGTAGTAATGATAAAAGTTAATCAAATGATAATTATATGATAATGATGACTTAAAAAATATGACAAATGATAATTATATTGTAATAATGATATATAAAATAAGACTAATGGTCGATGAAGGTAATGTAGGTTGGTGTGTCACGAGTTTTTTACTAAGTGATTGTAGTTACGAAAAATGCTTACAAGAATGATGTATTTTAAATATCTTTGGAATGATATTGGATTAGGAACAGACACGGTGTCACAAGTTTTTTACTAAGGTGCTGTTTGTTTTTTCTGAGGCAAAATGTCTGCGGTCTGCGGACCACATTTGTAGACCTCTGCAGTAGAAGAGGTGGACCAAACGTCTACAGTCTAAAAAAAGAAGACTATTTGTTTTTTTAACATCTGCGGGCTACTAAAATAAACTGAAATCTAAATAAACTGATTTTTTTAAACTTCAAAGTGATTTTTTTTTAATATTTTTATGACTTTGTTATAAATAATTAATGAATCTAGATCAACTTTTATGTATTATTGTATAAAAAATAAAAATAAAAATGGTATGAATTAACATATATATTTGATAAAACCAACAACTTTGGTTGCAAAGTTATAACTAAACATTATAATTAGTGATCAAATAATTTGATACATAAATTGATGGAAATAAACTTCGATTTTTTCAATTAAATCCATTAAAAACGTACCATAAATATTTTTTCGAGAAATTGACGATACTGTATTAAATAATGTTTTACAAAATTTGGCAAAAAAAATATAAGAATATATTATGATTTTTTTTCATATTTATATAAACAACTTCAACGACTATTATTGTAATAAATCTTTATTTATAAATTTGTCAAAAATATCATGTTTGTATCGTGGAACGATTTTTTTTTTTAAGTTTTGTATTTTTTTTTCAAATTGCTTATCATTAATAAAGTTGGAAAAAATATAAATTAAAAAAAACTTAAAAAAAATAAAGATATATATGTTTTTTTAGGTTAGAAGATGTCTGAAGATGTTAGAAGACTCCGGTCCACATCTGCGCCAAGAAGAGGGCGCACAAACATTTTAGGTCTGCAGTCTTCAAAAAAACAAACAGTCTGCGAATGCTAATGTTTGCGTATGGTCTGCGCGGCGCAGACAGAAGAGGCCACGCAAATCTGCAAACAAAAAACAAACACTACCTAAGTGATTTTAGTTACCAAAAATACTTACAAGAATGATGTGGTTTAAATAGTATTTACTAAGACCATCTCCAACCCATCTTTATTTTTCCCCCAAAAAATGGAATAAAAAATGGGGTAAATAGTATTTCATTTCCAACCTTACTTTATTTTTTACCATAAAAAGTATATTCCTAGTATATTCTATTTTTCCAACGTACATAGATTGTCAAACACACCTTTTCTACTAATTTAGTTTTAATAAATATGTAATCTATATTTTTTTCATTACAATAATATTAAATAAACAAGATTATATTTATAATACACTTATAAATAAATATTATACATGTTTTTATAAATACGTTACCGTGTTTCATGATTTTAATATGTATTTAAATTTTTATATGAACTCGATAAATAAAAATAAATTTTATATTTATGATTAATTAATATAATTTATTATATAAAATATATTATAAATATGAAGTTTAAATTATAACTAATAGATAAAATAAACTAGAAATATATAAATAGTATTACCCCATAATACTATTCATATCTCCAAATATGAGGGAAGAAATGGAATATGGTTGGAGAAAAATAGATGAGAAAATGGAGAAAAAATGACATTTAGAGTGGGTTGGAGATGTCTGGTTGTAAATTATCTTCCACCTATATCTTACTATTCTATTCATCGCCATTTCTTATCGGTGAGCTAAAGATACATTTTCCTCATCCTTGTTGTTAACGTTTAAGAAGAGTTCTTCAAGCTATCTTTGCATGATGAGTCATCTTTGTCTTTGGCTCATCCGGTCACACCCTCTCCTTCTTTCGGCGACGGTGGTTTTCTCCAGCCGCCTTCCTCTTTTAACGGCCAGTGGGTGTCCTCTTTACCCCATTTACGACTTGGTTTTCTTTTGTATCAAGAAGCGGGAAAAAACGGAAAGATTTGAGAGCATTTAAGGAGATACACAAAATTTTATACTTATCAATTTGTTGTCAGGTTTTCTTCTTTGATCAAGAGGCAGAAAAAAAATCAAAGATTGAGGAGCATTTTAGGGTTTGGGCTATATTTCACGATAACAGTATAACACAAATGTTGTAACCGAACCAAGTGGATTTTACCCTCTCCATACTATTTGCAGAAATTTAGATATTATCGGAAAGGTTTCCGAGTTGCTACTAAAAACACATAAACAGAGATTCATGAAAGGTTCTTCAATCATATACTCGTTGTCTCAAATTTATCTGTCTTTTTCAAACGAAAGGATTCGTGCTTTGTGTTGTTGGTTTTCCTTGAAACCCTCCCAAAAGCTAGATCTATTTTATGTTATTCGAGGAAGATCAAGAAATGAAAAGACGTAGAGTACCGAAAATCTTTGATTTTCGATCGCCGGAGGAAGAACGGGATGGAGGAGACGGTGGGGTCGGTTGCAGTGGAGGAAAAACGAGAAGAAGGGTATATTGGGAATTTGGGCGTTATCAAAAAAATAATTAATTATCTTTTATTGAGTAATTAATTTTAGAAACACAAGGAATTGGTAAATATTTTTTGAAAACACCATTCCCTAGTACAAAACTTTTGAATGAGAGAGTCAGGGGAGGGGATGTTTGTCATTACTTTTAAAACAATTTTTTGACTTTTAATTTTTTTAAAAAGTTAAAAAAAGTCCGGCAAAATAGAAAAGTTTTTTTTAAATCAACTTTTTGGCTTGAAAAAAAACAAGTCTTTTTAAAAGTCACAAAGTCCTATATTTTTGTGACTTTTGACTTTTATCTTTTTAAAAGTTTTAAAACCCAACCAAACACATTTTAAAGAACTCAAAGTTTTTTTTATAAAAAATCATTTTTATAAAAGAACTTTTAAGTTAAAAAAGAAATCCCAAACACACCCTCTTGTTCAAAAAAACATAATGTAAACATCATCATACCATGAATGTGTGAGCTTTTATCTACCGTTAGCTTTGTTTAACCATCGTCATACACTCATATCTAAAACTTGTTCACTTTATTGGAACATAAAATACAATTTACACACCTAGCTTAGATGAAAAAACAAGTTAGTCTAATCAGATTCTTTACGGTAGATTGTTATTTAACAACATATTCCCTTCACATATTTCACCTAAACATAAGCCTTTCACATGATTATGTTACGGTATCTGTCAAATAGCAACCCAATCCATCCAAGTAAAAAGCAGCACGACCAAAAAAACCCTCAAAGGAACCTACATCCCATCGTGCAGAAAACCGAGTGTCCGTCTCCTTACCGAAAGGTCCATGCTTCTTTTTGTTTGTCATTAAACACACGGATGAGATTACTTCATGATTTGGATAATACCCGGTGGTTACTACAACTGTTACATCTATCCCGATTATTTCTTCATCGATATCAAAGTTAACCTACAAAAACCAGCAATAATATTAAGAGAAGTGTAACATGTACTGATGTACACAACAACTTTACTAATATTCAAGATTTGTTACCTCGGAAACATTTCTGCCAGCCAAGGGGCCAGTACCTCCTTCACGTCGAGAAGAATCTAACAAACCCTTCAAATTTTCAATCGTAAAACCAATAGAATAAATCCAATCCTCGTGATTAATCGTTATCTTCCTAAGCTTCTGATTTTTATCAAGGTGCAACGACCATGGGGATCCACCTGTGGTCGAACCCCACAACTCCGTCTTTATATATCCCCTCCTAATACCCTAGTATGATATATAGTATCAAAATTATCAGTTCAAATTCTCACATCACAACAGATTTTCAACCCAATTAAAGTTATACAAGAATAGTAACTTACGCTTTGAATATCAAACGAGATTTGGAGTTGTTCGATGATCTCCTCCATCGTTGGACGTTGTTTTCGATCCGTGTTCAGGCATTTAATAGCAATGGAGGAGAATGTTTGCAACGAACTTGGCTTTATTTGTTCCCGTATATGTGGATGAACGATTTCATGTAGTTTTCTCTCTTCATAACGGCGTTGGACCAAGTGAGATAAGAACAAACGCTCGTCCTCGTATCTTCTGTCCATTGCTAGCCTTCCGCATAAGACCTCAAACAACACCACCCCAAAAGAATACACATCAGATTCTTTTGTAAGAACGCCAGTCGATATGTATAGTGGATCAACGTAACCGAACGTTCCCACAGCATCGGTAACAAGTAAAGTGAACTTCTGGTTCGTGGGACCTATTTTAGACAACCCGAAATCAGAAATTTTTGCTTCCCAATTCTCATCCAACAAAACATTAGGGCTCTTTATATCACGGTGTAGCACCCTATGCCCCACTCCGGCACCGGTGTGTAGATAATTTAGTCCTCGAGCTGCACCAAGACAAATCTGAAGCCGTTGCAACCATGGAAGATCGGTGGCCAGATAAGTATCGAGGCTTCCACGAGCCTCATGCTTGTAAATAATAATCTTCTCGTCACCTTCCTCACAGAATCCTACAAGAGAGGCAAGGTTATCATGTTTGTAACTAGCGAGCATGACAATCTCCATCAAGAACTCATGTGATCCTTGCCCGCCCTTCACGTTTAACCGTTTTACAGCGACTGTGGTGACAGAGGCAGTGGGGATGGAGAGTTGGCCTTTGTACACCCTACCAAATCCACCCTCACCGATGAAGTTACCATCAGAAAAATTGTCGGTGGCCAATTTGATGTCTTCAAGTGGAATTTGAAGGTACTTTAGGTCTTGAATACGAGACATGATATTTCAAAATTTTGAAAGTGAGTGGGTGGGTGTTTACGCATATAAATTTGAAGGTACTTGAGGTCTTGAATACGAGACTACTTTCTTTTTCTTGGTCTTGGTCTTCGTTACAGGCAACACTATTCATATACCCCTGCATGTCATATATAGCCTTTTATTAAATTTTATTATTTTTATATTACTTTTTTATATTAAATATTATAATATTAATATATTGATATCATTCACGAACGTGTATTGAATGAGACTATTTTCTATTTAATTTATATAACTATGAAAATTGATTTTATTTTTAATAATATATTTTTATTTTATTGTTATTATTATGTTACAAGTATAAAATAATTAATAAAATAATCATATATATAGCCTTTTATTAAATTTTATTATTTTTATATTACTTTTATATATTAAATATTATAATATTAATATATTGATATCACGAATGTTTAATGAACGAGACTATTTATATTTTTTCTATTTAATTTATATAACTATAAAAAATGATTTTATTTTTAAATGATATATTTTTTATTTTATTGTTATTATTATGTTAGAAGTATAAAATAACTAATAAAGTATATATATATATATATATATATCTATATCTATATATATATATATATATATATATATATATATATATATAGAGAGAGAGAGAGAGAGAGAAAGAGGTTGGTATTCAAAGTAATTATTGTGTGATTGTAAGATTTAATATCAGCCAATCATTTTTAAAGGGTATTAATGTAATCTTACCAATTATTTAATTTTGGTAACTAAATAAGTATTTAATTAATCCCTAATCTTCTTCAACCTTGCCCTAGCATTCAGCGTACCCTTCAATGTTTGGCAAAAGAAACCATCGGCCATGTTCCATCAGCCCCCACCGCCATCTCCCCCTTCTGTCCAGCAATTGTACACACTGAGGAATCTTCCGGTAATGGCAGCAATCGGTGGAGGAAGCATCCCGTCCGGCACATGAGACGCTCATTTCTGCACGTCGTTGGCAGAGAGGCGGTCCGATGGCGAAGACCACAAGGTCGAAGGCAAGACAGGAGGCAGCATAATGGGGTGCAAAGGGTTGCATTTGGTCGATCGATTCACGAGGAGGTCGTCTCCGGAATCGACGATGCCGAAGCAGTGAAGGTGGGAAGAATCTATGAAGCCCTATTCCTGCTCTAATGGTGATGCGCGAAGGGGGGAAAGAAAGCAGCGACCTTGTGGACCGATGATTTGATGGTGGCTAAAAGATTGCGGTGAAGAGGTGTTCGATGGCAGGGGATTTTAGGTGGTGATTCTTCCACAGGAATTGAACGAGATCAACAACACAAGTAACCTTCTTGCTCTATTATTATTATTATTATTATTATTATTATTATTATTATTATTATTATTATTATTATCATCATCATCATTATTCTGTGATTTGGAATCCTCATTATGATGATGAAACAACCAGAAGGGTCGATCAAGGGGGTGTTTGTTTGATTTTCATTTTGTTTTTCTTTCCTATGTTTTGACAAAAAATCAGTGGAGCGTTGATGGGTTTTGGGTTTGATTGTTCTTGATAGAAATGGATAAATGGAATGGATTTTTGGGGTTAATGTTTTACAGGAAATTGTTTGCTTTGCTTAACAGAATTCGATGTGGTGTTTATTGTTTGAAATTGCCATGGAAAGAAGATGAAGCAATAACAATGAGTGGTTGTATTTCTCATTTGCAGGTATACATGAAATCAAGAACAAGAACAAGAATGTTCTTGTTTTCTAGGTTGGGAACGAAACGAGAGATATCGAAGCAAAACAGAGTACATATGAATCTTGCAACATTCTACTCGAATGGAATTTTGAATTTCGATTATGTCAGAATAGAATCTTGAATTCCAAGTTTTCATTTGCTAATGCATTATTGGATTCTAAACTACAATTGGATTTGTTTTCACAGAAGTTGATGCTTGAAGAACGGACCACAAAATTGAAAGTGATTCTTAGCAAACATTATTCTTTTAGAATGTATTAGTGTCTTTGTTAGATTTAGATGTTTTTTTCCCGATTTCAAAGTTTTTTTAGTTTTATTCTTTAATAATAAATGTAATTCTTAGTAATTGTTAACAGTATTCTATAAGAATTAATGTAATTTCTGTTTTTATTATTCAATTGATGGTTCAAGAATTTGTTATTCTAAAAGAAGTTTTTAAAGTCATGATCAAGAAATAGGTTCAAGAATTTTTTTGAACATACTTATAAACATATTTTGTCAGAATGTCCGAATTAAAAGAATTATAATTCTTAAAATCGGATTTTTAAAATTAATAGAATCTAAAATCCCTTAAAATACGCTATTTTCCTTTATTAAATCTATATTAATTGACTAAAATACCCTTGTATTTAAATTAGATGTATTTTTTAATTATATTTTATTCAATAATATGTATTAATTAATTTCTTAAAATAAGTAAAATGATTGGCCATAATCATTCCTACATCCACACAATAATTAGTTAGAATAGAATAACCTAACTATATATATATATATATATATTATATATATATATATATATATATATATATATATATATATATATATATATATATAGAGAGAGAGAGAGAGAGAGAAAGAAAGAGAGAAGAGTTCAATTGAGAAAAAAAGGTTGAGAATGAGGGAATCATTCTCAGTCACATATTTATTTTGACGCAAAACACTTAGGCGTACCCACAGAATTTGTAACGGATACACATGTGTTTTTCCAACCAAACATGTTTTCCTTAAAGAATGCTAATCATTACCTTAATATACACAAAAACATTTTTTTGTTTTTTTTATTTTTAGAATGGTATTTTCAACGAAAAATTATTTTAAATATATCAAAATTCTTAATTTTTTAATCTCTATAAACAGACATCCATATTGATATAGTTTTAAGATAAAATAAAAAAAAATATTTTTTTTAGAGTTTTAGTTATCGTCATTCATAAGTGAATAAAAATGCATCAGATTTTTATTAAAATACATTCGTTATTTACTTATGAATAAAACACATGTTTTAATTTTTTACAGTTTAAGTATTGTTTATATATGAATATAACACGTTATAAAGTTTTCTTACATAAAATATATTTTTTTACATCATCTTTCGTCACATGTTATATTTATATATGAATAAAATGTGTATTAATTGTCGTAATATGTTATATTCATATATTAATAAAAAAAATTAATATTTTTGTTACAGTTCATTTGTTATTCATATATAAATAAGTAGTATGTTTAAAAAAGATGAAGTGACTTGAAAATTTGAACTACTTATTCATATAGGAATAACAATTGAACAGTAACAGAATTATGATAAATGTGTTCTTCGTATATAAATATAACTTGTGAGGAAAGTCAATACATGTTTTATTCATATGTGAATATAACATGTGACGAGAGTTGATGTAAGTTGTAAATAGTTTATTATATGTTATATTTATATATCAATGATACTTAATCTGTAAAAAAAAATTAATCATATTTTTTATTCATAAGTGAATAACGAATGTGTTGTAATAAAAATCTGATGTATTTTTATTCACTTATGAATAACGATAGTTGAAAATATAAAAAAATTATATTTTATCTTAAAAGTATATCAATATGGATGTCTATTTGTAGAGAATAAAAAATCATGAATTTTGGTATATTTAAAATCATTTTTCGATAAAAATAGTTTCTTAAAAATTAAAAAAACGAAAAAAAATCTATGTTTTTATATATATTAAGGTAATGATTAGCATAGTTTAAGGAAACATGTTTTGTTGTGAAACACATATGTATTGCTTTCCCATTTCCGTTGGTACGACGCAGACTTTTGCGGCAAAAATAAATGAGTAGCTGAGAATGATTTCCCTATTCTCAACTTTTTTTTTTTATTTTCTCAATTGGACTTACCTATATATATATATATATATATATATATATATATATATATATATACACACACACACACACTTAGATTATTGTATTCTAACTAATTATTGTGTGGATATATGAATGATTGTTGGTCAATCATTATAATTATTTTAAGAAAGTGAATAATACATATTATTAAATTAAAGATAATTAAAAAAAATACCATCTAATTTCATTCT